GACTGCCGTATAAAAGAGTTTTATGTTAGCGTGTTTGTGCATGGAAAATTTTAAACGAATTAAATTATGTTCATTTTATATAATTATTTTACTAATTAGCGTTATAAATAAAATTACAAGATCCATAACGAGGTTTTTAAACAATTGCGTTATGAACGCGGACGTTTATTATTAACAAATGGCAAAAAAATATTATATCAATAATACCTAACATAATATATGACATTTTACTTTAGTAAGTAAATAATAAATATATATGGAAATTTTGAATTTGGAACGCTTTTTTTTTTGGTAATAGTGATGTAGCTGTATGTGTCAACTTCACTTAAGAAAAAGATACTCTTAAGCATTTTTGATGTTTAATTATTGTCGAAAGAAGAAGTAATATCACAGAAGTTTATAGAATTAGCAAGGAAAGAACCAGCTTCTGCTATCAAGAAGAGTTAGTACGTCTTTTATGTTTTTTAACTAGAAAAGGATTTCGTCAAACATTTCTATCCCATTTTGACAATAGAGTATATTCTATGTTTTTGTTATCTAATTACTTAGCCAGTAGAAGAAAATACGACAATATATATGTATTTCAAATTCAATTAACAAAATAAAAATAATTTACTATTTCAATCATGAAATATAAAATATTATCAGGTGCCTGTAGCAGTTGTATTTAAGTATTAAAATCGTTTACGTCAACTAAACGGTACGGTTAATTACGAGATAGCATCGCATTCGTGATAAATAAAAATTGCCCCGCTTTGCTATTCAAATGGTCGTGTTTAATTGCAACGGTGGCGAGACTAACTGCCTAAACAATTGTGATTCTGTTTCGCCATGAGTTTTATTACATAATATATATATATTATCATCAATATGAGGTTTTATAAATGAGAAATGAATTATTTAAAATTTATCATATATTAGACCCGGCAGACTTCGTACTGCCTCAATCAAGAAATAAATTATGTCTTATTTATTTTTTTGGAGTTTATTAAAGCCATAAATCTCCGTGTTCTGAAGTGCGACAAAATTATTGACATATTAGTCAGTTGTCAAATCTAATGTCAAAAACCGTTTGTATAGGAAATAGAAAAGGTTTTTAGGGTTTTCCCGGAAATTAATAAAAAAAATTCAGCTTTTAAACCTTCCCTGAACCTCCACGAACATTTCAAGACTATGATAAGATAAATCCGTTCAGTCGTTCTCGAGTTTTAGTGAGACCAAGGAACAGCAATTCATTTTTATATATATAGATTTTACATAATAACTTCTATATTAGTTTCAATACCCGTATAGAAAATTTACTAGAAGACAGAAGCGAATAGTTTTTGAAATAATTACGTATTAGCAATTGTCAAAGCGGATATCTTTTTTGAAAATACAGATGCCTTGAATCGCATTAAGTTAATGTCTAGTATATGATGGTAAAATGATAATTTATCAATTTATCTAAATTGACATAAACTAACACGAGACTTCCATGAAAATTTATACCTCAATAATTAAGAAAACATATGTTATAGAGAATTTTCTATCTCCTGTTTGCAAAATCCTTCGTAGACTGCAGACTTGATAAAAAGACACTTTAATGTTATAGTTATTATGAATCAAAACCACAGGAAGATTATTATATGCTCTAATATGTGTGTATTTTTTAAACACGAGAAACTAAAGATTTTGTTTGTAATTTGCTATGTAGTTTTTGTAACTCAAAGGGTAGCTTATTTTGTTATCAAAAAGATATTGGAAGTAAAGACGAGTAACGACTCATTACTTATTAGACACCTAATAAAAAGTACCTATTGTTTTACTGATTTAAAAGGATAGACGTTGTTTCTTAATCTAAACCTAAAATTAACCAAAAACTATTTATGAAAACGTTGTCTTTTGTTACATTTCAAACAGACAAAGTCATAAAATGTAATTATAATTATCTATGTTATACAAAAAGGCAAAAATATCTGGTAATGAGTAATTACAAAGCTCGGCCTCGACCGGAACACGATACACATCTAAAGGGGTCCATTGATTTAGTGCTAAACACCCGTTAAAATGTACACATTGTACAAAGAATTCACCATTACATTTAACTGAATTATTAGTTAAATGTACTAAATTTAGTGAAAATATAAATATTTGAACAAACAATGAGAAAAAACATATAATCGTCAAATTATATACCTAAGTTAACAAAATTTTGTAAAAACCATTTAATTAGTATTTAATCATGAGAACCTAATTCTCATATAATTTAATGAGAGTATTTAAAATCCGTGAGAAATCACACGATATTAACTAGAAGATCATTTACTTTTGACTAAATTTTATATTATAATCATAATTTTATTAATTGTACATTGAACGCTCAGCTTGAAAGATATTCTGTAGGGGTTTTGAGAAGCCAGCAATGGAATCTGTAATATCTAGGCATCTGAAAATAATACCAATTATCCAGTCGTTAAGATATCAATTTAAATAATAGGCAACATGGATTTAATTCAATTGTGTGTTTGAATTGTTTGCATAATGATATCTCAAAGCAAGCTCAGACCGACTCTAATTTTAATTTACTACACCTATGATGATATTTTATATATGTATATATATGAGAAGATTCTATGCTCGGCTACTTAACAAGTACTATATACCAAATTAAAAAATTATTCCATTATTCAACTATTCTTTGAAACTCAGTTTCAAGAATGATAAGTTATATAAATACCTATGTTTCACATTAAACATGATATCAGTATTACAAAAAATAAAACTTGAATAATTCCGTTCAATCTCATCCACTATATGTTAATACAAGTAAACAATGGATATTTTTTCTATTACATACTCATTAGTCATTACGTAATATTTATTTCTTTATTGTAATTGTTAAGAAATTAGATTATAATTTATTGTCTTTATCTTAAGGTATATTTAATTGTTTTCAATAGCTTAATAAGCACGTGAACAATAATTGCAAATTAACATACCTATGTTTTAAAATAAAGAAATAACTTCCTTATTTCAATTTAATAACGACTTTCAGCACTATTTAAATAATTCAACAAGTTATAATTAAAAAAAGCTAATTAAGGAAATTATTATTAGTAATTAGTAATTTGAGCGTAACTAACAAATCTGAGTAAAGGAACAAACACGGAATAGTTGAATTAATATTATAAAAATACATCAGTAGTCCAAACATTATTCCCGATCCTCGCAAAGCTTGACCAGGCCACCCTCGCGATGAAACACGCAATAGTTTGTAAAGGCGATTCCAGAAAACGGTCGTTTTATGATTAGATCAGCACGGCATCGTCGAGTTCGGCGAGTGAACCAAGGGGCAAGGGCTTGTTAATTGCTCCGTTTTGTGAACACGGCCAGTGGCGTGCCACACCGCGACTTACTAGTAATCAGCAACCGCTGACTGATTGCTTTTTAAATAGGTTTTATGCCCACCAAAATGTTCTGGAGGAAATCAAAACACCCAAATCTCTGATTATACGAACGCTGTACGCATGAAAAATACGACTAGCCAAAGCGAATACTACGTTTTAATATTCAAATATATGTAGAGCTGTTTTATAGCTACGTCGTTTTGTTTGCAACCTCGTTTGCTAATGTCAGTCATAATTATTCAGCTGTTCCCATTTACTTTTCAACAATTACAACCATGCAATCGACGGATCTAATAACATAATTACAAAAACGCGCCAAATAATTTATCCGGATTTTGTGTAATGTTATAGCTAGCTAGCTAGCTGTTCTTGCTCATTGTACGAATGCATTATGTCTAATGACTGTAGGTAGGTATGAGATCTTGAACTGTCATTACTGATGGTTATAAAAACGTTTAATCGAAGCTGGAAGACGATTGTGTGAGACGTAATTGATGTAATTAGTGCAAATACATAGTGCTATTAGAAAAAGACAGGAAGCAATACGCGGAATGAAGACGCGCCGCTCAAGCTACTGTCAGGTATGGCGTGACTATAGTCAGTTAACTCCTGTTGTATCCATTACTAACTTAACTAAAAAGCATTCTCTGATACAGAATTCATTTATGTCTTGTTTTAAATTCATTCTGATATTAATAACGTGAAAAAACTTCTAGGGTTATAAAGATGTAACAATTAAAAAACATTTGGATTAATTGACAACATTTTAATTACAAAACACCACAAAATCTATTTGACATGAAATGCCATGTTTCGGATTGCTTAAGTACATTGCCATGTATATCTATAATAGCTTTAGGTATAGCACTGATACCTGATACCTTATTTACTTGTGTATTTAATACTAAGTACATACATTTAATAATACATTTTATACACATTTCATTTGCACGTTATCGAGAGAAAATATCGAGAAATTACTAGGATTACTGGTAATTGTTTATATTGTACGGTCAATGCACTTTTTTGATAATATTATTACCTAAAACGTCTCTCGTATTAATCATTATTATAAAAAAAAACTTATAAATACTTTAAATTCATCTGTGCATTTAAATTTTATTGTTGAAGCCGTTTTTTCCATAACTTTTGTAAGTAAACTATATATTTTTACTTTTACCTTGTGTGTTGATTGAAACCAGCTTGTACTATATTTGAACTTCCAAAGCTATAGTAATCACAAGTAGTATCTGTTATACGACATCGAATTTATTTATATAATACATTAGTTAATACTCCTATATTATTCCGAGCTTATATCACATACTTATAGCGGACTCGACCGCACTCAATATTTAAAACATTATATCAACAGCACATTGGCATCAAAGTTCATAATGAATATATAAGCAACAAATAAATAAGTACCGTCTTCTGATACCAACAAAGATAATATTTTATCTCCCCCGCCGCGTACACTTCACCGAATAACTTTTAGTTAAGCACTCATAGGTCTTCTTCGTGATAGTCACTTGTAAGTCATATACCACAAATTGCACGTTTCATGGTCCTTATATTTTTTGTGTGTGATTTTATTTACAGTTCACTGGTTTACACGTGTATGGTTTCGTCGTCTTCTTCGTCGTCGGTGTGTCGTTCTACGGATTGTTCTCGTGGAGATCGAGGCGGTGGTGCCGGGCTGCCGGGGTCCACGTCTGGTGAGGGAGTGCGTCTTGCTTGTGCATAGTAACCTAGGGCTCCCAAACCTGGAGCACCCAGCGAACCCAAGTGAGCAGACGGACCCGGCAGACCCAGGCCTAACGGAGGAACACCCGCCAATGGAGCGCCAGGGTATAATCTGTAAAGATCGTCTACTTTATACCCATGCTTTGTACAGAAATTAAAAAATAAAGTAATTAAGGGAAAGTCTTTATTGTTTTTTTTTTTGTTGATTTCATCTTATCTATATTGCGAGCAAATTTAAAAAGGTTTCACTCACCGATATGGTAATGGTTTCTGTAACGTGTTTGCAGAGGCAGAGGCTGCTGCAGCAGCAGTTGCAGCAGCTTGACGGTAGTATAAATCAGCAGACGGGGCAGGCTGTGCGGGGTACGCTGGCACTCCTGCCCAGTAACCTCCATACAAACGTTGAAAGGCGGCGTAGTTGCCAGCCTCTGCTAGCAACTCGAGTCCAACGGCCGTTTGACGCTTCCATTTCGTTCTGAATAACAAAAATACCATCATAATGCCAACTGAATTTTTTATACACCAAAAATCTCAAGAATTCTTGTGTGAAAGACCTTTTTATAAAATACATACAATATCTCATTGCTAATGGTTCAATGAATCAAATAAATTGATGTCGATTATTGGCAAAACCAACTACTAAAAGCATTTACGTCACATTACCGACTTAAATCGACTCTAAAATTTTTTGAAACTGTCGTTTACGTACCCTAAAGCAATAGATCACTAACCCTAGCGCACATTGTGACCCCAATAGTCATCAAATTTGTCACAGACCACTCGAAAGTACAATGAAGATGCCACAATGGTATAACTAATAAAAAAATAAATAAAATAATAAATTTGACAAAACGTCTTGGGCACTCGTATGTTCAGCAGAGCGTGGTCGAGTACTTTAATTTGATTTATTTGATTCTCCCGAAAAGGGTGAATTGGTATACATTACGAGATATTATTATGGGGAGCTAACTTTTTAATACCTTTCTATTTCAACTGTCATTAATAATAAAGACAACTTGAGATTTCAAATACTATACATTCCGATAATTTTACCACGAAATAAATCTTGATAAAAATAATATTTGGTTATTACTAATACGAGATTAAAGAGATTATAATCAACCAATTTATTAAGTATTACGTATTCAAACATATTAAGAAATTCATATATCCAACATTCACTTACAAATTGATACGAATACTTTGATTCGCTTCGTTCCACGTTATTTTAATTAAATTTAACTAAGTTTTATTCATTCAATATTAATATAACCCATCGAAATGAAATGAAAACTTTACCCCAGTTGTAAAATTTAATTTGGCCGTACAGTTGTTGATTTGAAAGCGGTTATTGTGATCGAGTGAGGTTTTTATTAATTCGCCGCTAGTTATTGTGCGTATTATCATTGTGATAGGGAAGAGCCCTTTGTGTTCTGTGCGGTTAGCAGACGCTTCACTGGTTAGCTCGTTAATTAATTTATATAAATGGATCATTTAATTTTATTAAATGTAAATGAGGGGGAGTTTAGACGTGTTGTTGCTCGTCTCTCATGAAATTATTGTAACGTCGTTAATATTGTTGTAATGCATTCGTAATAAAGTGGGGTGGTTTGGGGTTGAATTAGGATATTAAAACGTTGCAGGCAGCTATGCTTTACAAATCTCAAATAATACGTTAAATAAATTCAATTCAGTACATATCTACATCTCATATGTATTTTAAATGTACCATTATTTCAATTTGTTTTATCCTAAATATCATTGGTCAATTATCAGTAGCCGACGTTTGATAGATACAAAGCATCTTCCCATTAATCATGTCAAGACGTATCGGGGAGTGAACACTCGAGAGCACTTATTTAATTGTCAAGTGCTGAATGAGAGGCAATCTGCTCAATGACACTAGTCTTTTTATTATAGCCTCAGGCAACGTATAAAAAGCTCCCGAAGCGCATTTAAATTCGGCTTGCTGTCTCCACAGACGATCCTATTTCTCTGTCTCACACAGACGTCATATCGTAAGAACGAGTTTCCTCTATCTCTGTTTCCCATTCCCCGGTGGAGTCTGGCTACGCCCCGCCCAGTGGTTTAGTGATTTGATGCTGCGTGAACTGATTCAATTGTATCCGACGAATACCATTCTAGAATGAGCTTTAACTGTTTGCGTTAAAGACTAAAATGGTCTGTTAAGAATAGCACCGCTTACGTCTTCTCCACGAAGGAGGTTGTTTATCTCGACTTAAGTTTTTGGAAGACGTGATGCGAATTCAGTTTGTATAGACTAGGAACAAGGAGTGCCTCATCGATCCGTATATTTGCGTTTACACTTGGCACTTAAGCTTGTATTCTTGTATAGCGTTGGACTCAATTTGAGTGCCGTTCGAAGCTTATAACGTATAACGTGCTTATACGCTGTTTAGAAACTTTCAAGACACGTTTGGACGAGTGTTCTTATGGGAATTGTTTAGTTATACGACATATTGACTAGGGGCGGGTTACCTTATTTTAATACTGTTTGTTTAAATATCTTAGAAAATATTATTTATAGTATTTACCTACATAATATTACTATTAATTCAGTCGTTCCCATTAAAGCACAAATTATATATAGGTATCAGAGTTATATATTTTTTTATTGAAACTTATCTTAATGTTTTCAAGTATTAAAATGAAATAAATTTTGAAAAATACATTGCTATTAAATGGTTTACATTTGTGCATCGATACAATTATTTCCGATTTACTTATTACAAAGGAAAAAATATATTTATTGTTCAGTTGTTATAAGGCCACACAATTTCTTAATAAATTTTAATTAACGTTTTACATATCTTCCTCATCGTCTCAATAAAATCCAGTACAAAAAAATGCAAGATAATTAAATTAAACGACTCCTACACATAGTCAAATAAAAAAATGAACATCAAATTATAACATTTAAATGTCTTATTATTGAGAACAAAACGTAATGTCCATCGATTTGCAATATAAGTCACAAATGTCTATATTTGATTGACGTTTTAGGAGATACATACAAAAAGACGATGTTGAATAACAGAGTAGGGTTTTAAGAGGACTCAGAATCCTATATTAAGAGTCGAACTGAAATGGCATCGGTAATGATTAGTTTCTAAATGATAAAGCAGGCGACCTGCGCGTCCTTGGGCCGTATTCTGTGTCTCTGGATGTGTAATTTAGTTGTTCGCGATAAGCGATTAACCTTCTTCTTGGTAGCTCCTGGGACCCTAGTATTATATCATTAGGAACGTGCAGTCACACGTATGGCATTTTCGTTAAAAATCTATTGTTGATTTGTGTACACTTGGGTAGATTATCGAATAGTATTATTTTATATATTATGTAACTGAAGTTTTTATATGTAAATATTCATTGAAATATTACTGATAACTTAAATATTTTAACATTTTAAAAGGCGTATAATATTAAATATTTTTTAAACTATCTGGTGTATTTTAATCAGTATGTTTTTATTTGTCCCATTGAAATCTTATTACGAACTAATAAAAGAATTGATTAACATATTAAAAACATATATGTATGTAGACAAATTATATGTATATCACTTCTAGTAATATTAACTTTATTTGAGATAATTATGATACTGATTTCGATAATTCTCTTGTTATTGAAATTTTAATACCGTAGGAAACAGACAGTTGGCTTTTACCTCATGCGTTTAATTCATATAAATTCTCGCATATGTACCTATATAATATGTAGAATAACATTTCTAACGACCATTTACGAATTTAGAGGCTTTGCAGCTAAGGAGTGAGATTAAACAAGAATAAGAATTTCTTTGTTTGAAAGTAATATTCTACTGTTTTTTATTTTAAATTATAATAAGATTACTTTTTATTTCTTAGAGAGATGTCCGATCAATATAATATTTCAAACTTCATAACTCTGGGTTATGATTAAATCATCACGTAATATCTTTTTAGTAATATTCAATATATAGCATATACATATATGTTTTAATGAATATATCCAGTACATATATTTTGATCGCGACTGTACATTGATCCGTGTGTCATTACAGAATGCGTCATTAGGTAATCGTAGCGGATTACACGTCGTCAGCTAAACAGCGATAAACGCAGTACGTCGACGGCCCACCGATTATGCATTTACGACTGGACAATCACTGGATCATTTACAATTATTCCAGCTTATTCTGAATTTATTGACGGCAATAAAACGCCTCGAAACTTCGAGACTACCGGATGCGTTTAACTTATAGTTAGAAAAAACAATTAAGTAAATAAACCGCTGAATGATTGTGAAAAAGCATCAATTTGGACGGCGGATGCTTTGAGGTTGTGGCGCCGGTCAGGCAATGACTTGCTTCTTCAAGCATCGTGTTCACACGTACCGGCGCACTGCTATAGCTACCACCGACCAAACATATATATTTCATGTAGTAGCTATTATATTTCTAAATTGTTTTGGTACGATTCGATTGTGAGTTTGGAAACGTATTTTGATTAACGTTCAGGAAATTTTAATTATGGAATAAAAACAATCAGATTAATTATTCCAGGTGTTGTGTAATTTTTTTAATATTGATTTTTAATTATTTAGTATTTTGGTGGACCTATAAGTATATATGTAAGTACGTGTAACCGATTTTAAGGAACGAAAACACAACATTCAAATAAATCAAAACAAACTGCCCGAACACAAAAGTTATTAAATCTTCAATTAAGTACGATTTCACACCCTTTCACGAACCGGATAATCGAAACCCAAACATTAGTTTAGCCGAAATTATTGGAAAGTGAACAAAAAATATGGAAAAAAAAACATATTTGTAGAAAAAAATCCAGACGGGGCGGGCGACATCTTGTGAGGCGCCTACACATTCGACATCCCGTGATTGTATTAGCTATGCCGAAATTAATTAAAAAACCATTACTTATTTCATACCTTTTGTTACTTTTATTTGTTTATAACGCTTCCCAAAACATAGTTTGAAATAAAATTCATTTAAATATGTAATTCGATTATTTGATATCACAACAAAATTACTATTCCTACTTTATTATCTCTGTAGCCTAAACAAGATTGTAGAACACAATCAAAATAAACGATAAATTGCAGTTTTGTTAAATAAACTACTAAAATATTACAATGACATTGTCTTATATATACCTAAGTTTAATTAATCAAAAATAATGGTTAAGCAAAGTTCCCAGATGATATTAAATAAATATTAATTTGGCTATAAAATAAACACAACGCTATAGAAATTTCGTGAAATATATATATATTTTTTTAGCTTCTGTATTTTTTATTATACGTCTAGAAGGTGGCGGTGTCGGTCCGAAGCAAACGTCTAATTACAGACGTTTGTTTTTGAAATAACCGCTCCGGGTACGAGCGACAAAAAACTTGTTAAGTGATTCATAATGAATATTGAATATCCTTTGTGGCCGGTACTATTTATGAGATTCGTGTATTTGTTCTGTTTTATATAAAAACTTTTTGATGACATTGAAATACTGGCATAATGTTTAATGTCAAAAAAAAAAACAAAATCTATCTGCGATTTTCATAAATATTATTTTGTATTAAATTTATTGTTAATTAATTTATTTTCTATATTGTAAACATGAAGTGGAAACAACTCGTACACTGTACAGTGACTCAGCATTAGCTTGTTGACTGCCTCACGGACTCAGAGGCTAGACTCAGTTGAATGACGAGAGCGTTTAATGAGAAACTTAAGAATGTGTAGAGTATAATTAATATTTAAATTAATAGAAAAATATCCAGAAGATAATCGTTGTAAAGATTTGGATTACGTAACTATATCTTCTTCTTCCTAGCAATTTCCTAACTTTAGCCAGGGTCAGCCTTACATGTTGTGAATAGTTTTGGCTAATTGTTTTTATTACCGGCCGCCTGCCTGACATCAACTCTCTTTTGGGAATTATTACGTAACTATATATGAAATATATAATCTTAAAGAAATATGAAACAGTATATATACATATCTATATATGTAATCACTAATTTTTACCAATACTAACATAAGAAAGATAGATTTTGAGACCAATTTTATAAATCATCAAATCTTCAACCCGCTGTAAGTCTATGCCTTGTATCTGTATGTAGTAGCATCATATAATTGCTTTCTTCATTCGAGGCCTCTTACACGTATCTGGTGTTAGAAAACCGTGTTGGTGGTACCTTTAATAACATTTCCCATGATTTTCTTGCTAGCTATACGGAACCTCACATAAGTCTTCTAAGAATTTTGATTTATCCGACAAAGCCGCGATATTTTAACAGTTAAGTTGTATTGTGTAAACGACCTTTGACATATGCAATGTAGTTAGGAGGAAAACACGTAAATGGTTGTTTGCTAACGGTAATTGTTCATACTAATGATTTGTTATAAATATTTCTATCTTTTTCATAGATTTTTAGGCTACGTTTTAGGCTTTTCCGGTGATATCGAATTAATATTGACAGTCAGTTTTAGACGTCATCATTCGTCAAAAAGTCTTATTTTGATTTAAAACATTTAAAAAACGCTTATATGTTACAGTATATTCAGACGATCTTAAAGTCCGTGTACTCTAAATCAAACTTAAATCCTACTTTTTTACGTCAGTATTAATAAGAAATCATAGAAAAGAAGGTCTATATAAATGACTCACCTTCTATTCTGATACCAGGTCTTGACTTGTGTGTCCGTGAGACCTAGTTTAGCTGCTAGCTCCATACGATCTTGAACGCTGAGGTATTTTTGTCTCTCGAAAGACTTCTCCAAGGTCTGCAGCTGATGATCCGTGAATGCTGTTCTGGCTTTACGCTGCTTCTTAGCCAACGCTGACGCATCGCCGCAGGATTTGCTCGAAACGTCATCCGAATCATCTTTGACACCTACAAGAAATAGTTTATCATTAAACTAGTACCTAATACGATAATTTTATTATACTATATTTGTAGACACGTTCTGATGCAGCCTCTGTGATAACATTACTCTGTTAATCTTTCATTAATTACAGTTATATTAAATATTAATTACATGAATCCGCATTATCGACATCCGTCAAAGCGGGCATTTAAACGAAATTAAACAGCTTTAAATCGTTTCTGCTTGTGTAAATTAATTTTATATTATCGAACTTCTGCTGTAATATTTAAATGAGATTTGGAAATTTTAAATATAAGAAGGGCATTTAAAGCGGGTAATCTAAAGCTTTGTAACAAAAGCGAGTTGTCTCAAGTCTCAAGTAAGGCTTCGCGGTCGGGCCCGCTTCCTTGACAGACCGCATTCGTTTATTTTGCTTCCATTTTATTATGAGCTACTATCATTTGAAATAAAAACGTACAAATTTATAAAGTTTTTCGTATCCTTTATATATTTTATTTGATCTTCAATGTCATATAGAAATTTTTAAATTAAACCACACGTATACTTATTGTTATGTTTTTAATAAAGTGTTTTAATTATCTAATAGAAAATATGCTTGAAATATTAATGCTATGCTTCTTATAATTGTAACATTTCATTGGTACCAAACAAGATTTTCTTAAAAGAAAGTCAATATAATCTAAGGGCTTAATATAATGAAGGTATGTAAAATTCAATATGTTGGGTATAACAAGGGATTATATGTATAACGTGCTGGCATTAACCAGCCAAGTGTAAGCTGTGGTTTGCCACCCAAGCACTAAATGTACTTACTGTGAGCTATTAACTGACACGCAAAACATTAGTGCATTGTTCATATACATATTAAATAATAAAAATAAATATCATTTAATATAATTTGTATTCATTCTTATTATTCCATATCTAAGGTCTAAACAATGACGATGTCAGCAGGAATTGAAAGATAATTTTCTTGTTGAGCTAATAGAGTGATTTGAATCTTATTGAAATAGAGAACCACTTAATATGTTAGTATTAAAAATGATATTAATGAAATACACCTGGCTTCGTAAGTAAATAACTGATAATCCTATTAACAGTTTAGTCTTAGTATTGAATTTTCAAATGAAACGTAAATTTGAGGTACGTTGAATGGCTAGTGGCAATTTTTTCGGTACCCCCCAAGTTTGTAATATCCAATGTAATTATGACCGACCGAGGCCCATTAGGGTCTGAAGCCATTAATTTATTATAATAAGGTCCAACTGCCAACGTTTGTTCGACCGTGAAAATTATTATCATTACTGAGCAATGTTACTATGCTAAGTCTACCTTAACAATTCGAAGTTCTAATGCGACATATTTCTTAATAATTAGATCTAAGATTTTCGCGAGTACTCATTTATATGAAAGTAATATTTTCGGATTTATTACGCGATTTTTTATGTGAGACTCACATCTCGTCTGCCCGAGATCACGGTTGCTGTAAATTAGCCGAAACGTCGGGAGTATGTAGTTTATAGTCAAAAATAAATAGTAAATCCGAAAATATTAGTTAGTTAGTATAAAGAAAATCATTTATCGACTACCTCTTTTGATGATTAGATATTATTTTATGTTCAATTTAACAGCTTGTAGCTAAACCTGTTACTTATGTAATCTAATATGTACATATGTATGTAGTCAGTACAAAATTATTGTTAATCTTTTATACGTGTAATGCAAATAATAACCATATTACAAAATTCCGTATTTTATCCTCAAACTTAAGTTTGATTTACAAACATAATTGGTATAAAAAATTATTGAAAATATTTGGGATATTTTAGAAGTAATTTTTGCTATATATTTTCTATTTATTTTATATATATCTTCTGTACATTTGTCCGTCAAACAAAGGACGTCCCACGTATACGATGTTAATGTTATATTAAGTTATTCGATCTCGCTTCATCGGTTCTAGGAATATTTAATATATTTATAAACACTTAAATCATTACAACGGATCTGATGGATTAAGGCCAGGAATGTGGCTACTGATTAAAGCAAGGTGACGCGGAGAGAGTTCGTTTAATGTCTTAAATAATACTCATTACATACTAGCTATATGCCACAGGTTTGCTTGAAATTTAACGAAAACTTTATAACTTATTAGACAAAGAAATAAAAGCATGAAACAAAGATTTTGATACAAAAATTTCCATATATTTATATTTAAATAATTTTATTGATAACTTGGTATCAATTTAGAATATATATTATGTGGAAACTATATTATATTAGCTTTCAATAGAAGTCTATAGTCCTTCCACTGTACTCAATAAATGTGTCACTTCATCCGCCGTGGGTCGTAGTTACCAATTTACAGTGTCCTGACTATAGGCTTAATGTATTACAATTTTACATTAAATTTCTCAACTATTATAATAATATGGACAATTTTAAATATTTGTATTTTCATCAATATACATATGTACGTTTTCTTAGAATTTACGCATCTATATAAAAGGCATTTGTCTTCTAAGCATATAATAAATACTATGAAGTAATTTAAAATATCAATCTACTTTTGTCTTTTATTCTAAGTACTCTAAATCTAATTCTAAATTACTCTTTTCTGCTTACGTTACTTAAAAGTATATTTGCGTGGAACCAATTCTACTGTATCTTTTTACTTTTACTAATTATCCAGACGAGTTCATAAATATAATTTTTATATATATTTTTAAACTTGCAGAAACTATTAATTAAAAATAATATATATTTATTTTCGTGAATCTAAATAATGATTTTTCGGTATCAAGATAAGTTGCAACATTGTATGATGAGCAAACATTTTATGTATTGCAAACACATCATTGGATTTAAATGTAATTTATATAAAATGTTAAATAAAACTTATATTATCGGATTTAGTATGTGATTTTGATTATTTTAAATGCTTCTTACGTTTCGGTTACATTGCACTGATAACAGTACCGTGATCACGGGAAGATGTCTTGTCTACCCGTGATCACGGTTGCTGAGAAGTAACCGAAACCTCGGGAGAATGTAGTTTTAAAATAATAAAATGCGCGTATTAATCCGAATTATATTACTTTCATTTAAATGATAAAAATACTTGTGAAAGTCTTAGATCTCATTACATACTAATAATGTTTAAAAAATCGTTTGATTTAATTATCATTTTATATATTAGAAAACTTAAAATACTTAAAATTAATGTGTGACAATAAATACATAAGTCACATTATTATGTCTTTTTAAATACATATATTAATGTTAAACACGAATCAAAATCATTAACAATATATCATAATATATATATACCTATAAAAATATAAGCAATATGACCCAAAATTTATATGAATATCAGTACTAATAAACGCTTGTAAACATAACTCATATAACTCATAGATTCTATCTTAAACCAACGTTACATTTTAATCATTACGTGTTAACTTATTAAAACTTACGTAAAATGTTGATAGCAAAATATGCTCCAGTTACATCTGAGATAGCGGAGTTATTCAACACAAGTTTTCCCGTAATTAAGTGATTCCATTCACTTTAACAATCACACAATACATACATACTCGTATAATTTTACGGCTTACAAATTAGAAATCACTAATTGTATCACTGTAAATGATAATTATTATTTATTTATATGAAATATTTTATTTAAAAACTGTATTTTTGGCGGAATATATGAAAGAATATATAATAAAAATTGATTAATTCAAACTTTAAGTAATGGCAATTTAAAGCTGTTTCTTTTCACGAATTAATTAAGTAAAGATTTTATTTACATCTTTTAATATACAGGGTGACTGGTGAATTACTATCGATATTTGAGGACGTGATATTTGACGAAGTTTATATTTATATTGAAGTCATAGAAATTCTGTTTCTACATGACGTACTCGATATTTCAATGTGAAATCGTATGAAAAATTATATATTTTCCGTTACTTTCATGCAGCCCGTTCAGGTGGACATTCAAATATCATAAGCTATTATACGGGTCGTGCACTCCTCATGTTTCCAGACTTATGTGTATCTTTTAAAAACGATATGTTATTAATATTATAAATATAAGTAAATAAAGTTTAGTAGATCAACATCGTACCAGAAGCACGAACATTTTAACATTGATACAGAAATAAAACTCTAAATAATATTTAACAAAAAAAATTCAATCACATTTCTTAAGACGGTTTTAATAATTTTTAAATCGAACCCAATTTCACATCACACAGGCTGTCAAACGAGACACAAAGCCAAAGAAGCATTACGTGTCACACCGACCGGGACTATTTATATCAATGATAATCTATTTATTGTCACACACACAGTACTGATTTTTATCATTTGATGCGATGAAAGAAACGTCGACTGGATGCCAAAAGTCAATATAGAAATATACGAAGGAAATTAAATCTTGTATGTATATTTTTAAAGTCCATTTCGTATTGAATAATGCGATTAAAACGAGGCATGCTAAGCAGCTTAGCAATGGTGAGTTCTGATGTTACGTTTGACGTTTCAAGTAACGATCCGATGGCATAAAATTTTAAAATCATCTTAAAGAACATATATATATAATAAATAAAATAATTCTCAACGTGTAAACGAAGTGATATTATTTTAATCATCACTAAACAATGCCTGTCACGGCTAAGTGATGGTAATATAAATTCAAACAATAGTCTATAAAGCGACACCACGTTAAAAAAACCTTATTTAATATTAAATTGAAGTAATTAGTCGTTTTTAGTAATCGATTTAATTGTGTGACCGCTAGCTTAGTGTAGATTAATTAAGTTTATAAATACTCGGTTGGCTTTACATTATAACGCTAATTGCTATAAACGGTGTATTTTTCACATTCACTGTAAATTGGTTTTTCAAATTATTATGCTGCCAGTTGTATGTACAGTTGTACGGAGGTTTTAATTGCCACCACGGAGGTTGAATACAATAATTGACAGGTTCAAAATCATAAGAAGCACCAAGTAGTTTACATATAATATATTCTTCAACAAATCATCGTATAACTGGCTGGGTGTGAAACGTCAAACTTGAGCTATTTAAATTTCGAACCGAACCGACTTGACATTTGACAAAAAGCTGATTATGACGTCATCTTTTTTTTTTAAAACCCAACAAGGCACAGCGAGGGAAGGCCTTTCAGCTTGGATTAATTTCGTCCGTTTTATAAGGGCTTATCTGGTATAGTGTTCGGAACGAGTTGTATTTATCGCTGCCATTATACGTTTTATTATTTAATTTATTTAATGCTCCGACATTATCAGCTTGTCTATTAAATCGTCGACGGTATAATGCGATTGAAACTTAAACATTCACTTGGATTTGTTTTAAATTTATTTGTATGTTTAAAGTGTGAGAGGAGACCTATTAATATATATAGTTTCATTGATAAATTTAGACAAATACAAATAACTATTAATTTAATTAAACATTAAAATGAACCGGTAATTACAAATTACTTAGTTGTTTCTTCATACACAAATAATCTTAAGGTAATAGACGGTGTTATTAAAGCAATTATAATGAGGCAAGTTTTTATTGCATTTAACAATTAATTGCTATAACGAGAACTACGGCTAATAATATTTCTTTTATATATTCGTTAAATTTTTTATAACATTAAATTAAATTTTAAACCAGAAAATCTACTGATTTAAGAGTATTATTATTTCAAAGTATTGTAATTTTTATAAGTATAGAATTAATGTATATTTATATAATCTATATTTTATAGTTATCTGTAGTACATGTTATTTAAATCTATTTGCTATGTGTGAGTTTAAATATATATATATACATATGTGTGTGTGTAATATAAAATGAAAAATATAAGTAAATTATATTTATATTACTAAATGGACTGTATATTAAAACACTATAAGATTAAAACAAAACACATGAATAAGTCAAACATTATTTGTCACGGAGAGACTCAGCGGATCAGGTTGCAAACACGGGTTTTTATATATTAGAAGCATATTAATATTCTAATATAAATATTTAAATATTGTAACGCTTCGACAAATCTCTGTGATTATACTTTTAATATTAACTGTATTTGATGATTTTATATTTAAATATATTTCTTTTAATTCTCATAAATATTCATTAATATTGACGATCAATACCTTGATTGATGTCGATGTTTTAATTATTAATAGAAAAAAAATATGAATATTAAAAGTTAACTCCAGATGGTGTTTCGCGTGACCGATCAATATCACCTTTCCCACTATTGTCAGATATTAAATAGTGTTGATTCATTGATAAATAATGATTTTTGTTTATTATTATGATAGAATCTATGTCTAGGCCGTATTCAAATATAATGATAATGACATTGCGAGATCTCGTTGATGTCTTTTATAAGACGGTTGTAAGAAAATAGTTTAATACGAATTATACGAAAAATATATTAGATTTTTTTTGTATGAAACAAGTTATTAGTGAGTCAGTGAGTTAGTTATATATCGTAGTTAATGTTGCAACTAACACTTCGCAAGAAACAATCATCGTGTTCAATTAATAAAACACATTAAATCGAGCTGTAATTACTTATTATTACTGACTTTATATATTTGATCTGTAATGCAATTAATTATGATGTTGGAACATCGTTTTTAATTTTTATATTTATCATGATAACTATGTAAGAACAATAAGTATTTTTGTATTCTACAAGTATTTTTGTATTCTACGAGTATCCGTGTATTGTACGAGTATTTTTGTATTCTACGTGTATCAGTGTATTGTACATGTATTGAGTCGTCAGTACCTGGCGAGTCCGTGGCGGACCTGTCGGAGTCGGAGTCCCTGTGCGCGCTGAGGTCCCTGGGCGCCGCGTCCAGGATGTCCGTGATCATGAACCTGGTCCGCGGCGCGCGCTCGCGCTGGTCGCGCTGCACGGTCATGGCGCCGGCCTCCGACACATCCAGCGCCCGCCGCCACCCCCCGCCCACACCCACCGCCACCTCGGACAGCTCACTCACAGCACTATACACATCACACGAGATGTCCGCTCATACATTACACGGACCAATACACGGGTGACTACTGTCCGGACAGGTGGGTCTGTTCGGACACAGGCAGGATACGTTCTGTCGCTGGTGAGTACGGTGTCGTCTGTGCGGAGTTGTTGAGAGTCAGTAAGTGTCGCACGTCCGCCCTGTACGAGGTGAGTGTGTCTACTGCGGCGGCTCTGCGTGAAGGCTCGGGCGGCGCCTCCCGAGGGCGGAGCCCGGCGACCAACGGCGCTCGGCGGGCGAGGGGCGTGCCGCTGCCATGTTGCCTGAGACCGCGCTAATGCTCTTTTTGCCGACCCGCCGCGGGAGAAAGCTCCGTGCGGATTTAAGCTTTTATGAGGATAAAACGCTTTTATAGCAAAATAAAGCGTTCTAGCTGCGGGCCGCGGGCTATACAGCTTTACGACGCGGTTTACTGAAACTTGGCGACACTATGAGACTATAATTGGTACGTTTTATACAAATAGAGGATGACGTATAGTGGACAGATTATGTACCTACCTACTATACGAAAATATTAGTTTTAATACGAGAAACCGTAAGAGAAAACAAATTGACAAATAATTTATAAAGATACATGATTGTATTTATTAAACTAATGTATTTGTGATGTAATGAATTTTTTGCAAAACATTCAATCGTGTCGATCTAATAGAATTATCAGTTTATATTTTAAGAGCTGTTAAGAATATTGTAATTAAAATTAATCAAAACATGGCGTTAAAATGTTTTATTTAGCATGAACCGATATTATTACCGATTCTGGCAAATAATAATTGTACTTTCTAGAGTAATGGCTACTAAAAATTCTTTACCACTCAACCTCTCGCTCATTTTCTGAGTATAGGTATATTTCTTTTTTTGAGCAACTACATACAACTACGAATATTATTTTTTCCTTAGAATAAGCCATATTTTCTATACATGTAGATATCCTTATAAAACTGTACATGAAATAAACGTAGAAGCTACAGTTTTAAAGTAATAAATATATTTTGTTACAATTATACGTAGAAAATAATATCAAAGAGTAGAAAACAGATACACCATATATATATTTTTTATTACACATTGTTTTTAAATTAACATATATGTAATTAGTCAGTCTGAATAAGTACTTTGACTAAACTCAATTATTTTTACCCTTCTATTAATTTAATAAAAACATTCGATACTTTGGCAAATTATAATCAATGAAATAAATAGTATTTTATTACTATAAAATAATTATAATTAAGATTCGATTATTCAGTGTATTACTAGCGTTGACTCCCGTCTCTGCCCCCTCTTCAAAACGCTATTATATTTCCCCTTCCCAATACCAATAATACTAAGGGCGAGAAACATCTTGACTCGTACAATCATTTTTGGCTGACGAAATCTTTCACCATCATAAGAACTATTTGTTTATAATAATAATTAAATCTAGCAAAGAAATTATATACTAGTTCTAAACTACGATCTTATAGGAGTCACAAATAATTTCAGAGAGAAATGTTGTGTCAAGCAGCAACTAGCGACATCTGTAATCTGTTTCATGAATTTCATTCACAATACAACTGTTGTCTTGATTCTGCTGTATTAACACGTAATATATTGATAAATTTTATTCTATATCCTATTCTGATATCTAAATGACATTATTATAACGTTTCATTAAAATCTGCTAAGCATTTATTGTTTGGAAGAGCGACAAACGTCACATACCTACGTACAATGTATGTATGTAAATACTCATTAACTTTTATTTTATAATATTAATAAAATTACACTATTTTTGGTTATTATGTATTTAATATCAGAAACAATCCGATACATCGTATCTTCAATTAACAATTTCATTGAGAAAATCCTCTACTATATATCTTCCTTTTATGTTTATATACTTTCTTTGGTATACATATAAAAATTATACATAGATACTGCTGAGATTATTTAGGATATCTTTTAAACTTTATTAGTATTAATTTAAATATAGTTACTATATTAATGAATGTTATACAGGGTGACTGGTGAATTACTATCGATACTTGAGGACGTGATATTTGACGATCATATATGACTAAATAAAAATTAATATAACATAAATATTAATAAACTTCTAAGTAAAGTTAACCAAAAGTTATATAATTAATTACGCATCGTGTGAACACCCTACAGATTGGGTATACACAGACACACAGGCGCGCGGCGGCGTGGTGTTGTATCAGCACGCCGCCGCACGCGTCCACACTTGGAACACTTGGAACGTGTCCACACTTTATTTATTTATACGGAAATTTGATCAAAAATTAAGTACCTCTTTTTTTACATAATTCGAATAAGAATCATGTACCGAGTATTCTCCTTAAATATTGATAGTATTTCACCAGCCACACTGTATATATGTTTTTATTTAATTAGGTACCTTAAGATTGGACAAAAGTTTTGCTTGTAGAAAAGTTCTACATATGTAAGTAATTTAAGAAAAACTTATAAATCTGAGGAAAATGGTCGTAAAAGATTGTATGAATTTCCTTATAATTATGTATTTCCCTCTTCGATGTAACGTCTCATTTATTGTGCAGTCGTCAGTTTCAATTGCATGAAGTATTATAAATTACTTTCAAAATGTATTTTGTTTTTATAGACATTTAATATTTAATTATACTTTTATAAAAGAATAAAATAGTAAATAAAAAAGTATTTTATAATAAGTATGTAACTATATCAATTAATCTGATTATATTCTATCCATGTTAAGGAAATACTTAGTATTGATCTTTAAATTGATTGTAGTTTCAAGTATTTTACTTGTGATTCCAGTTCCCTTTAATAATATTTATTATACTTTTCTTTAACCAATTTTTTTCCGGTTGTGATGAAAATTTTAATAAAATATAATGTACGCATATTTCTAATACATAATCACATGAAATAAAACAAAAATCTCTTTTTATATGTGACATAAAACCTTCAAGTATCAAACTCAAACAAAAACCCTAATTTTAAACACAAAAAAGAAATTAATTATAATTTTTATAGTAATAATAAACTGTTTGTGTTATATATTATAAATTTTATATATCGTGAGTCGCTCAAGCGGAGTGCACTCGTAAAGAGAACTAATGGCTGAAGGAAAAACTGCATCGGCTTGAACAATTATCACGAAGTCACAGTACGACGACTCAGATAGACCTGAGCGAAGAAAAATAATATGTACGTAATAAAGGTCGATATAAAACTAATATAGGATATTACTTATTATATTAACTCTTAAATGTATTTTATTGAGATTAATTGGACTAAAACGGAGATTTTTTTTATAATAATATATTTAATTGTTACCGATTATAATGTGTAAGATTTATTTTCATTAACTCTTTTCATACTTTGTTTTCTTGTCAGCTTAATTTTCATGTTTGTCTTAAAATGTATAACACATAAACGTTGTCAGAATATTTACTAGTTTCAAAAAGTCGGTTTTAAAGAATGAAAATTTGGCTCTTGTTTAGTTTAATACAATAAATAAAATAAAGATTAAATATTATGAATTTGTTCCCTTAACATATTTTTATATATTATTATGATTTCTTATATACGTATAATAACAATTACATCAAAAATTCCCATACTATCTACAAGCTGTATTTAGTGTAGAGATAGGATTTATTTTTATTGTATTCAACTGAAGATACATGAAAAACTAGATATGTACAAAATTGTATATATTAACTTAAATAAAAATATCTATGCACAAATCAATTATTGTACACTGAGTTATGTTTCTAATAAAAACTATATATTAATTTTTTCCACCTTACACGTACATCGAACTAATTCCATACCATCTTTGTAAAAAAAATGTTCGATAATACGTATATATTTCAAGAAATCGAAGCATAAAGTTATTTATATAATATCAAAATAGAATTAAATACAAACGACTCGAATTTAAAACATAATTTCACCTATTTCAATAATTTTTTTTAACCGTAAAATTATATACAATTACAGCTCGATATTCAGAACTAATCAAGTATTTACTGTCCATTATATTTTAATATATATGTATATATATAATGAATTCATTTATACGAAAAGATAAACCATTACAGGTCAAGAAATACGACTCTATATCATATATTGTTCTATCGAACCCAGACTTAGCTTGTTTCATTTCACGCTCCCATAGCTCTTTAATCGTATATTTAATTACAAAACCATATTTCTTAGTTAATAAGAACACGTACAAACGTTACCTAGAATAAATACTTTAGTTGAGAACAAAAACTCAAACGCTCACTACACTGACAGTCATTTCACGGTCGCTGGCGTTGGCAACTGAAAAACAATTCGACTTATTTAATGTCGACCGTACGCTGTTATGTTACAAATATGATAATTTTGTATAGTAATAAAATTATTACATACTTCGCGAACAGAACGTTTATCAAGCGTTTCCGTTTACCTTATCGTCGGTTTTAAATATCGATTTCAAAGAATTTTTTATTATAATTGGATCACATCTCCCATAGCCGGCTCTTTATTGTCAAAATAATAGTTCTCAGAATATAAATGATGAAATTTATTAATTGATGTATTAAGTTGGAAAGGGTTATTAATTATAAATTGTATATTGATAATAATCACAAACATGGCACCAAATAGATGTATATATTTTAAAATAATATTAAAATATTTTTAAGTATATTTTTTTTTAATAAATTTTTGCGCACAATTCACTTCTTTCTTTATTATTTGTTTTATTTATAATACGATTGTGCAGTCTGTTGCTATAAAGGTATTAAAGTTTAAATTAACGTTTTCGGAATTTTAATAATGCTAATATCTTGTAAATATTAGTAACTTGTAACCAAGAGTAGGATGAATGACTTTAAAATAATTATTATTTTACAAATTTTCGAGAATAAAGAAAAATTATATTGTTATTAATATGTCTTTTGTATTCGTCACATATAAGAAAAATATGTGACCAAATTTTAAGTCACCAAAAAAATAAAAAGTTACGACTAAATGGGATTTGATGAAATATTTCATAACAAAGTCTAAAAATTTGCAACCTCTCTATCAATAATATAATTTTTCTATCATTATTAACCCTTACAATAATTTGTCCAAATGATTTTCATATACTTATAGAAAAATTAAGTACTCCCAAAATAAATTTAATAAAATAAATAAAAACAGACATAATAAATATTTAATAAAAATTTTAAGCTATTGGCTTGTTTTCTAGTTGTTATAGTTACTTATTAGAAAAAAAGCTGAAACAATAATCTATCATAACTATATTAATAATAATTTAAAACACTAATATAGAAAAGAGCTTTTGTTATAGTATAGTATAGTAGCAATCTGTTATACCTACATTTATAGTCATCTTTTTGAAGGTAAA